TAAAAGTACATACATTCAACTGCTACGTACGTATTTTTATTGGTGGGAATGTTTTATTTGAGTATGTCTTTCAAGCCCAAATACAAAAGGAAGGTGGGAATTTCCCTAATTTTGCAATATAAAGAACAACTTCAGGATGAGAGGAAAGGGGAAGAAACAAGGCTCCTAAAGATGTGTAATTGTCACCCAAATGCAAACAATACATTGCAAATTCTCTGCAGAGCTTTATATTGTACTTACGGATTCAAAATAAAAAAACCCATTCACTTAACACAAAATAATCCAGTAAAGTATATTTAAGTGCCGAACTTGGAAGAAAGTGGCATTAAAAAAAAAAAAAAAAAAAATCTGGATGTTTTCCCCATCTTCCCCAAATTAAGTAAACCGAAACCCAACACCCTTCAAACCAAATGAGATTGTGTGAGATCGTTACAACACGGTACAGTACACTCATAAGTAAGATTCTGAAGTCGTGGGCAGGGTCAGGCTGGTATAACAAATCTCACTCCAAGGATTGTTAACACAAGATGCGAACTGTAAGTAAAGTGCATGAAAGGAAGCCTGCTCAGCTAAATGAAGTAGACCCGAGAGATGGGAAGTCAGCGGTCACTCGCCAGAGCGGCAGCAGGCCCGAAAACCACACTGCAAATTCTGGCATCCACTGGCGGTTTCAGCATGAGGACCTGCACAAAAACAGAACAAACGTGAAAAGAAGAAGAGGCCATTTATTTAGATTCAGAATTCTTGTAACCTGGTAATTCACAAAAGGGGTGGTTTTTTTTTTGTTTTTTTTTGTTTTGTTTTTGTTTTTTTTTAAAAATACACTAAACTTCACTCAGCACCGTGAAGCCTGGAACTCTGCCGGCACTACCACAGGATAAAAACCTCAATTGGAACAGTTATTTTTCAAGAGATTTTTGCTCCGACAGCTTAGTCCCATGAAGATAACACATTCAAAATGACACAGACGTACGATGAGCAGCGCTAAGCGAGCAAGCCTAAGCAAGCTCTTGCAGCCAGCTTTCAGACTCGAGGTATATTTGCGCAATGCATATTTAACTCCCATTTTTCAAATTCAGATGATGACTTCACGGCATTACCAAAGAAACCATAATCTCCAAAACTATTTCTCCTATAATGGAAACATTTTTTTTTATTTTTATTCTGGAAGGTTTTTCCTCCACGAACACTTCACGGTTGGCTTAGACCTCACGCACTCTGACTGGAAATTCAAAAACTAAAGGAAAAAAAAAAAAATCACCTTCAGCATCACTGCAGTCATCAGAAGCCATAAGGCTCAAACCCAGCCATTCGGAAAGAAAGAAAAAGTTGCGAGCACAGACAGTATAAACCAACACCGTAATTCTACCCACCTCCACTTACCTTTGCTTACTGTTATCCCTTCAATTTGAAATGTTAAAGTGATCATGAGATACGAAGCTATTAAACTTATTAGTACAGGCCTTATTTCCTGCAGCCATGTGCCTGCTTCAGAGACACAAACATTTACATTCAGGTGGGCTCAACTCTGCCACCCAACACCAAGTGGAAGCGGGTTGCTGAGTTAACCCAAACAAGCTGGAAAAGGCCTAACCAGGACAACCCAGATTTCCCCTCTTTGTATTTGAGGCAAATCAAAGAATATTTAAGGTGGTTTTAATACATTTAGAAAGGACTGACGAAATAATGTAATGAACTAAGGCACCATGTTACGTCTGGCTTGTTTTCACCCCTTGAACAGTAACTTAAAGTTGTAATTCAATTAATTTCCAAGAACCTGGTGTCTGGAAAACAGCTTTCTGCTTCATGCCACACACCGACGAGCAATATTCTACAAGGTAATTAAGTTAACATGCATGAGACTGAATAAAACAAACCTGAAGCCATAATGAAGGACAATGGTTACAGGGTGCAAAACAGTAAACTCTTCATTTGTCAATAATCTCATTTTCCTTTTCAAGTCTTTTTATTCACCTGAACTAAATTTTGATCCTCCAAGTCACTTACGAGCTAGAGTTTGAAAGCCTCTTCGTAAGTCCTTTAAAAAGCAGACTCGGTGCTTCTGAATAGCTGGTTTAGCAGAGCATGTTCCGTGCAGCCGCATTTCCAAGTCGTAGCTGACCTTCCTCATCACTGCCACAGCTAAGCAGCGCATCGGTAATTTTGAAGCAACTGTCTCGTTTCTAGTAAAATGCTTGTTGACAAAACGCACAGAACCACAACATCCCAAGGATGGGAATACTCAGTGCACTTTGATACTGTTTTCTGTCCTTTTCTTGCTCATTTTAAGAACGTCCTTCCTCGCGCCCTAACTGGAACACAAAACCCTTCTAGGTCTGACCAATGCTCCATCTAGCCCCACCTTCATCACTGGCAACAGCAAGTGTTAGCTAGGGAGACGATGTAAGCCTGTCGTGCACACCTTCTGTGCCTCCCCAGCATCCCACACTGGTGTAGTAGGGACACTGAAGTCCATTCCCTTGAGTGTTTGTTTGCAGTTCAGCTGTGCTTGCAATTGTTTAACCTCTTTTTAAACCTGCTGAGAGTAACCGCTTCCAGGACTCCCCCCGGGACCAAGTTCCAGAAGTTCACTGCACTGTGCATCTGCTTTAAATCAGCCGCCCACCCATTTCACCTGCTGTTGCCGAGCTCAAATGCTGCAGCATTCGGAGGGTTACTGCTGCACATCCACCCCATCTCCTGCCTTCCCAGTTCTGCAAGCAGTCATCTGCTTTAAATCAGCCGCCTACCCATTTCACCTGCTGTTGCCGAGCTCAAATGCTGCAGCATTCGGAGGGTTACTGCTGCACATCCACCCCATCTCCTGCCTTCCCAGTTCTGCAAGCAGTCATCCCCCCTCCTGCCTTCTCATTCCCATACTGGAACATTCCGGTCTGTTGGGCGTCTCCTTGCATGACACCCGCCCAGTTCCCTAGCGCTTCTTGGTAGACCTCTCCTGTATCTTCTGTAACTCCACCACATATGCTCCTCGAGATGGGGAGACCAAAAGGGCATTGCATGAGTGCCCCAAGGCTTCCAGGACCTTGCAGCAACACCCTCCAGCTTGTTCTCAACACCCTGACGATGTGTAACACTGGTGGCTTTTTTGGCTGCTGCTGCAGGCAGGAAAGATCTCAGAATTAGCACCGACAGCTCTCTGAAATCATTGTCTCCATGCTGCAACTGCCAGCTCCGAATTCCAGTTTCATGCAATCATAGTTTGATTACTCCCAGCCACCCAGAGATACAACCATGCATACAGCTGTACTGGAGCTCATCAGAGGTCCTTCTGGAAACCAGCACCAGTATCGTTACTTGAGGCAGCTCAGCACCTCTCAAGAGCTCGGTGATTACTGCCTGCATTCCTTACGCCACAACAGCGGTGGAACTGCTGAGTAAGACTGATCGCAGCACAGCACTCCTGGGGGGGGGACGGAGAGAGACCCATCACCTCCCAGATTCCTGCCCATCCTGAGCAGTGGCCATTAAGCCCTGCCCATTCTTCCTATACTTTAATTAGCTTTCAGGTTTTAAATTTAAACGAGTCTTATCGCAACTTAAAATTTCAAAAACCTGGACGCTTTTAAGTAAACTGCATCACCTGAAAAAATGGCTGTTTTAACAGCAAGGCTGTTTGGTTATGACTCGTTTCGCCCATGTTTTGACATGGCAACTGATCTCCTCCATCACAGGTCATTTACCTCCTCTATAAATGCTGTAGCCCTCCTTAGCTTGTTCTTTTTACATTTGATACAGATAGCAAAATTGAAATGCCTTTGATTTGACAGCCCCAGAGCCTGCTTGTGTTTCCCTAGCTTTATTTACTACAAATGACTTTGGCTTCCTAATCTCTGATTTCCCCAGTCTTTGCGACTGACCTCATTCAGACCGGACTTTGTTTTCAAACTCTGTTTAAATTCAAACGGCCTCTTTAATCTTGCCAAAAACCACTCTCTCCTCTTTTCGCTGGACTCTGTACACAAGGTCTCCAACTCACCTCACCTCACTGATGCACCTGGTTAAGCTATATGGTCTGTAAGCAGACAGTTCCCATCATATTGTCCAGTGAACGAGGTGGTCGCTTCAGACCTTACAGCGGGGCTGAATCACTTTTGGAAGGGTCTCCCTTTTCCTACTGACTGCAAAGCCTTAATGAGTGCTAGCAGTGATGTGCCTAAATTAAATGTGTTTTGGGCTGGCTCACCTGGGAAAGCAAAGTTAATCAGATTCTCATCTAACCTGCCACAGTCTACATTACTGGTTTAGTTACCTCTGAGCTGGACCATTGCACTGCCTTTACATGCACATCTGATTACTCAGAAGCTTCAGGCCACCCAGAATAGACATCTGTCTACTCAGGAGGAACAGCTCGCAATGTTTTCAGATAAAGTACATATAACAGCATCTTGCAATGTAAGAAAGGAGCATAGCTATTTGATTACTCCGTTTTGTTACGTGTACTAGTGAAACAAAAATTAGTCAAAATTTGCTAGAAAGAAGGTCAGCATTCCACCAAGAATACACGAAACCCAGACCAAGACCGTGGCGAAAGAGCAACTCCATCCAGGACAACCAGCCGCCACCACCACATCCCTTCAGCCGCTTGTTCTAGCTCTCACCTGCAGCAGCAGAAACATTCATGTGGTCTACAGCAAGATGGATGCCTGATCCATCTAGGAAGGCGGGGGTGGGGAAGGCTTTCAGTTACCCCAGTTCTTGACCAAGTTTACCAAGTAGCCACGCAAAGACTAATGCTGGCCACAGGAAGGCAGTAAGAATGAGCCAGGAGGAGCACAAAGGAGGGACAGCAAGACAGCTTCTTTTTCACAGCCACCACCAGCAAGTCTCCATCATCAACACTGCATACCGTATTTGATGGTGGTGTAGCAAGAGCAATACGTTACAGGGGAATTACCAAAAAAGTGATCAAATTAAGCACTAGCTTTAAAAAAAAAAATAGAAAAAGGCAATGTTAAATTCAAATCCAAGTTTACTAAGTGCTACTCTCTCTCAGCCTTTGGTAAAGTTACACTTGCAGACCTTTATGAGAGCACCTTGGTTATCTGTAGAATTTAAAGAGAGACCAAACACTCAAAGTCTAACAACAATGCATTCCCATACAGATCTGCACACAGGAGTCCACAAATCTTAACAGAAATTGCGAAGTCTTGGCTCCATTGCTGGGAGACAGATCAAACTATGACCAATGAATTTCTAAATGCCAGAAGAGTATGAATCATCAGAATCACCACAACTTTATTTCATTAATGCCCTATTTCTTTAATTATAGCACCTGAGGACTACATCATCAAAAAACTCTAGAAACTGAATCATACTTTAAAGCTGCAAAGAGCTACTGCTGCAGAAATCGGGGAGCCCTATTTCTCTCATCCTGAAGCTGACAGCACTCCAGGCTTTAGAACTGAGAATACAGTAAGGAGATTGAACACAGCTGGACAAAACAGCCTGTGGGGAAATATAAACTTCTAAGTGCAAGAGGCAACTCAAACATTAAACTCTTCCGAGTTCAGTGTGATTTACAATCAGATGTGTTTTAGACAGAAAACAAAATCAGCAATTAGAAGGGGTGTGTACTGACAGATTTGTTTTCAGCTGCAGCTGAGGGTTATCTAACTCCAAGTCTCCAGTGCTGAGCAGAACACAGGTAGAGATCCTGAACATGAGGATGCAAACCAAGAACTCAAGTCATACTAACAGTAAACAAACAGAAAATAAATTTGGAAGTGTGTGCAAATTCATGGTCTCCGCTCATGAAAACTGCATCATGTTACTGCTGGGCAACAGCAGTCTGCGACACAGACCCGAGCGAATCTGTCTAACCACAGCTCCCCTACCTTCTTACTTTTAGTCTCCTAACAGGGTAGAGCAGCTACAGTCAGAGCAGCACTTGCAATGAAAATCTGAGAACTGCAAACAAACATGCCTACCAAACAAGTCCAGCAAATCCTTCACAAAGAAAATCCAATGAAGCTGTGTGCAAGGACCCCCCTTAGGCTCAGTGTTTATAGGAGAAGAAAAATAATCTGAAAATAGGCTGCAGGTGAAAGTAAAGCCCTTATATGTCAACAGATGACAGAGTGGTATCTTTATTATTCAGAGATGGCTAAATTCCATGCTGCTGGCTCCATTTTTTGTTCTGCAAGACCGGTGGGTGTTCCAACATGATACCAGAACATATCTCCTTCCCCGAAAACAATCCCTGATAAGCTGGTGGGCAAAGAAAATTACGGAATTATTCTCTACATGCTTACAGACCAGTAATCTTTGTGCAGCAGTTAATAATACAATCCATATATGTGCAAACAAACGTAAACAGCCCCAGACATGTTTAGAAATACCAAACGATACAGAAATAGTTCAAGCTGTGACAGAAACCCTGCTGCCCACAGAGTGGAATAAGGCATTCGTTTCACACCGAATAGCCTTGCCACAATGAAGTCTGAGTGAACATACAAAGAACAGTACCCAGATAAAACTGCAGGGAATTCAGTTATAAAAGGTTATTTCCCATTTCAGAATTTTGCTAGGACACCACTGAAAGTTTTTATTGACTTTCTTCTTAAAGAAAACAGCCACAAACTTGTGAGAAGCTACTGTTTCTCAATAGACATGAGAAGTCAGACCATTACAGCCTCACTCCCCTGTTGAGTTCCCTCTCCAGGAGTAACTGTTCACCCAAAAGGCATGCATGAGGTTTTACAGAACCAAGCAGAGCTTACAGGCTCACAGCTTCCAGCCAGCAGTAAAAGGAAGGAAATACACAGGAAGAGGATCAGGACAACTTTACAGAATAATTCCAAAAAGTATTCTGTTCAAATATAAGTAATTTCTTGAGGATATTACGGAATGGCCAATCTTTGAAGTGGTGGGCTCACACAAGAGATTCTGGCTTTGTAAACTAAGACGACATAGTGCATTTTAGGGACAAGGAGAGAAACAGAAACGTCAGAAGACAAACCAGAACATTAAGTCTGGTATTACTGACAGAAGTGAAAACAGAGGAAAAATAGCAAGGAATCAGATGTAAAAGGAAAAAGACTTTTAACAGGTCTTATGCAACACAATGCAGGGAGGAGAGTCAGTGAGGGATTTTAAAAAACGGAACCTTAAAATTTTCAGGTTGAAATGCTGTAAGATTTTTAAAAGCTGTTGTCTCGATATAATGGAAGGAAGTAACAAAAAGCAAGCATCTCAAAACAAAACAAAAACCCCACCAGTGTCAAGCACAAAGAATTGAAAAATCATGGAAGCATATGATTTAATACTTTCACTTCTAATATCGGGATCCAATCCAAGTGTATCATCTTATATCAATTTCAGTGGTTTGAATACCCAACTGCCAGTACAGATTTACTTGTAGTACCCAAAGCTCTGGCATCCTGTACCCCTGCTGTGGCTGCATCTCCATATACGAGGAAATTACCAAACTGAACACCGTGAACTACCAGGGAGTATAATTTTGTTTTACACACAATTAGCCCTTGTAATCCTGTGAACTCTGTTATTATCCTCCTTTTCCCTTCCTTTCTGTTGCACTTACCTGTTTTAAATTCGCACATGGAATACAAGTGACACTATGGTTCCCATCTCGAATGCTAACTGGACCTAACGTAATAGGCTGAATTCCAGTGTGGTAAACACTGAAAAGACTTGCACCGTAAGGGTATTTTATGCATTTATCCAGATCCTTCCCCAGCTTAGATCCAACCCTAAGTTACTGATTCAAGCAAAACCAGAAAAACTAAATTACATTTTCCATAAGGACATGCAATGGTGGGATCAAAAATATCCTATACCAAAACTACTGCAATATGGGAGGTTTGCATAGCAAAACACTTGTCATTCCTTTCCTAAAAATCACTGCTTTGGTACCAATCTAATGAAGCCTCTCTCTGAAGTTATGACCATAAAGAAAACATACAACTACATGGTTTACAGGGAAGATATGGAGAGGGCAAGTGTGTTATTAGCTATATGGAAACTTAACTTTCTAGACCCTATTATTTATGCTAAACTACATTATGAGATACATGGACTAAAAATGCTTGCCTAGGTAATACAGAACTGTACTAGAGTCAGGCAAAAAAAAAAAACAAAACAAAAGAACAAATGAGGAAAAAGTGATTTAACAATTGTGATTTCATAATTATCTGTGAAACTCAGTGCTGCACAGCCAAGAAAGAAAAAAAAAAAAAAAGTGGGGTTTTGGTGGTTCTTTTTGTTTTGTTTTAAAAATTGTCCTTAAACCAAGCATCGCTCCCCAGAAAAGCATCACATCTTCATTAAAAAGACATTACCGTTAATGTTGTCACAGTAGTAAAAGTGTTCATCATTTAGAGAAGGGCATGCAGAAACTAAATCCTGCAGGCCGGCACCAGTTACAGTGAGACAACCGGAGAGGTTAAGGTGTTCCAAATGCGGCAGTCCTCCTCCCAGAGTCAACGCCCTGTTAACAGACAGAAGAGAAGTGTTAAAAGCCCGCACAGCGCTAGACTGGCCAGTACTCCACTACGTCACCAAGTCACAGCCTTAACTGCATCTTGTAACAAAAAAAAAAAAAAAAACAAAAAAAAAAAACCACAAAACCCCCCACAAACCAAAACCAACCCAAAACAACAACAAAAAGCCCCTCTAATAAACCATATCGTTTTAAACCTGGCAGTTTCATACCCTATAAAGGGGATCACCCTGAAGCTGCATAACAGACCTGAAAAACGAACAGATTTTGACAGAAATGAACAATTCCTTCGGACAGACTGAAATGGTAAATCGCTTTGTTTACAAATGACTCCAGAGATGACCAAGTATTTCAGAGAACTACAAAGACATTCTTCTCCAAAACACCACTGATGCTGGCAACTCTTCCAAGGTGATGTATGTTCCTCAACCCACCTTGAAAATAGGACACTTCCAAGTCTGATGCATTACGCCTCCAAAAGTTTGAATGTCTTGTACTTTTTTGGATAAAATTATTTCAGAATCCAAATCTATTTTCCTAGGGCTGACAGCGGAGCCTCTCTCTGCCAACACACCACCTAATTATCCAAGTGGAATTCTCTGTTTTTCCTCTGAGTGCAAGAGAGTTTGGCTGCTGATGCAACAGCCTCATGGATGTGTCACACCTGAGCAATCACTCCGGGTCAGGCGGCTTGCTTCTCTGGAAGCTCACAGAGCAGCCAGCCCAAGTTCCATCACAAACAAGCTCACCCACCTGAAAAAACACCAGGCTTGGTGTTTAAGCCAGGGCATAAAACTGAAAATGCCTTCAGAGCACCACCATACAACTTTTTCCTGTCAACAGGCAGAAGTAGAACTGTTGACCACAAAGTCAGCTATCAGTTAACAACTTTCCTGGGACATGAACTTAAGTGTTTCTATTAGGAGGTTTCATTCTCTCTTCTCAGGGATTCAAAATACTCTGGCAGATGCAGTAAGTGCCTGTTGCAGCATGCTCTCAGCTCTTAAATACCGTCTGTTATCTAAAAAGCACCAATGGGAACTGGCACCATGACTAAACCCTTCCCATGACTCAATGACCAAATCTCCCTTTGGTCCCAGACAACCGAGTCGTGAAAAAAGACCAGTAACATGAGAACTACGCACCGCATGACCTCATCAGCGCCAAGCAGATCTCCGCAGTACCAGTCCACCCCACCACCTGAACAGCAGCGAGCTCAAACACAAGGCATTGCTATCTGAAGCTTACGCTGAGCAAGACTAACACTGCTGAGTGAAAGAGCAAGCGTCAGAAAAACCACTATGGGAGACGTCTGAATAGCTGGTCCTTCTGAACACCAAATGGGGATGAAGCATCCAGAGGGACAAATCAACGCCAGCAGCACCTCACGCTACTTCTCAGTTGACTACAGCAGGCAGTACAGGTAGGCATGAAGTCTTCCCACTCCGAGAAGCTTTAATGGGCCCCAAGTGCTGCAGCACATCTGAGCAGGTGGCTGCAAGTACTTCAGCCTCATCCCATTTTCATTATGAAGCAATAACTAAATTTTTCGGACACAATACAAAATATCAATGGCAAATATTATCACACGCAGGAAATTTTGTAACTCTTGAAGCCGTCTCAATGTTCAAGTCAACTTTTTTTGCCTCCTTTAATTATTATATTAAGTTGTATTTAAAATGATGTTTTGCACATACAAAATTATCATAGAATCATTTAGGTTGGAAAAGACCTCTAAGACTATCAAGTCCAATCATTAACCTAACACTGCCATCCCACCACTAAACCATGTCCCTAAGCACCTCATCTGCCCATCTTTTAAATACCTCCAGGGATGGGGACTCTACCACTTCCCTGGGCAGCCTGTTCCAGCACCTGGTAACACTTTTGGTGAAGAAATTTTTCCCAATATCCAATCTAAACCACCCCTGGAGCAACTTGAGGCCATTTCCTCTCGTCCTACCACTTGTTACTTGGGAGAAGACACCAACACCCACTTCGCAACAGCCTCCTTCCAGGTAAGGTTTCCCCTTTTCTCCAGGCTAAACCACCTCAGTTCCCTCAGCCCCTCTGCATAAGACTTGTGCTCCAGACACATCACCAGCTGGACACACTCCAGTGCCTCCGTGTCTTTACTGTAGTGAGGGGCCCAAAACTGTACACAGTATGCAAGGTGCAGTCTCACTGGTGCAATGTATGCTTATGCATGCACACACAGAGGCACGCAGACACACATGCACCCTTTATTTTCATACATGTACAACACACGTGCGGGATGCTGTTGGCCACCTGGGCACACTGCCGGCTCATATTCAGATGGCTGTCGACCAACACCCTTGTTGAATCTCAAACAATTAGCCTCGGCCCATCAATACAGCCTGTCCATAAATTATGTCATTATCCAAACAGATTAAATAAGATGTTACTCCAGTTTTTTATAAAGCTTCAAGCATATTGACAGGCATAATGAAAAGAAAAATAAAATTAGTGAATCAACACAATTTCCTAACAAAAAATCACTAAAGATCAAGCCTAGAACAATAAATTCACAAAAATACTTGACTTCAGAGGATACGTCTAGAAGATTTTTTTTTTTAAAATCTCCAAAGGAAAAGCTGGATAAAGTTCTCAAGTCTGGTACTATAAATATTTTAAGATGCAAAGACCACTTAAAACTTACCGGAGTTTCTTCAGTAAAAATGTTTCTACCAAAACTAGGCAGATTCATCCCAGAACAACTCAAGAAATAAAATTAGAAAAAAATATACTGCAGCAGAATAGCTCAAAAACATCTCCTCACCTGAGAGCACGGTCTGTGATCTGGTAACATCCAGACAGACTGAGAAACTGAAGAATTCGTGCAGTCTCTTCATCTGTTTTGTCACTCCCAGAGTATGCCAAGTCTTTTTTCTCTGACTGCTTAGTCCTTGTTGGTTTTTTACACAGTGCAGAGGACTCTGGAAGTGCTCGAATAGTTCTTAGTGCTGTCCCAGCACAACAAAATGAGTGACTGCAGTAAATCAAGTCAGTAGAAGCACAGTGCTGCTGCCACCCTCTAGTCCTTAATCCATAAATGTCTCTACTGTAGCAAGATGCAGAGCAATTAATATGGGATGTTGGTTCTGTAAGACAAAATCCTTCAACATTTCTGTGTCTCCACTCTGCAGCATCTTCGATGTCAGCCAAGTCATCTGCATCTAGCATCCACACATAAGCAGGACTGAAGTTTTCTGAGCCGTCAGGCTTAGTCCAATGCTGCCCACGATCTCCTCCCTCAATGAGGTTTTCATTGTTGATTTCATGCAAACAATTATGCTTCTTGTTGGGCTGCAGAGTACTCTCTCTGTTTTTCCACAAAGTCTTAGCATTCCTGTTTCTGCAGCTTTTCAGAATACCTCTGTTATGGTGAGTTGATATGATACCCAGTGCTCTGGAAATCCTCTCGATAGCCACATCTGTGATTTTTTCACATCCAGACAGATCAAGGTGGCGTAGATTTTGACAACAACCAACTGAAGACCAGCTGAAATCAGGGAAAAAAGTGGTTTGGTGGGAAAAAAAAGGGGTTGGGGGGGGGGGGTGGTTTGGGGTGGTTTGGGTTTGGGTTTTTTTTTTAGTTTTTGTTCAGAAACAGGTGTTAAGGCTAAATATATAAAAGAACATTTCATAAGTAAAATACTTATATTAATTCACAGAATATTTAAAGAAAATACCCAAGACAGGTTAGATTTGATACTCCAAGTGCTATATATATTTTCCTAGAAAAATTATGTCTAAAGCAATGTGAAACAAATCATGAATCAGTAACAACCTCTATTTTTTCATATACTGAGACTTAAAAGAAGTCCGAATTTGCCACAAGCTTTAAATAGATCAGACTGTAAACACCAAATACATGTGACAACAATTTCAAAAAGCATCTTCTGCTGCGTGTCAGCAGTCACCAAGAGCCATCAGGTTATTAGACATCACAGTTAACTTCTAAGAAGGCTGAAAAAAGTGAACTTACTGAACTAGCAGATTTCACCACCCCACTCCCCAAAAAAACCCCCAGCCTCATCCGAGATGTAATATGTAGTTCAAAGTTATTTCAAGGGTTGTAATTTCTAGCATTTGCATTCCTCAAGCCTCGCTGTTTATATGTATTGAAATATCAGTGTACTTGGATCAAAGACCTCCTGTGATTTCCTATTTCTTTCAGACAGAATAGCTGGATTTCTGAAACACATTCTGTGTACAGTATAATTATTCCATAAAAGTGATGAAGATTAAAGATGTCAATGGAATCAGACTTTTTTATATTGACAAAGCCTCACCCTTTAAATTTTTATTTCAGTTGAAAAAGGTGACCTACAGTAATACTGTTACATAAAAGTATATGGCTGATTTAAGTGCCATTTACCTGTCCATAGTTAATGTTAACTGTCATTTACTTTCCGTAAATGATTACTTATATTTACCGCAAGGCAAACTCATTTTTTGAGTTACAAATTGGGGTGTTGGAAATACAGATATATGAAGAGCAGCAAATAATATGTTTCACTACAGACTGACAAAAGCTCACAAAGATTGATTTCCGAGCCACAGAAATTCTGTAAGGCTTTTATCTCAACTAAAACTTTGTGCACAAGCTGCAGGGTATTGCTGCCAGCATCCATGCTGATAAAATTTTCTGTGTTGTTAACACATAAAACCTGAGAACATTATACAGTGAAAGTGTTGCACACTGAAACAGCCACTGAGTTTCAGTATCACCGTAAGACTCACTGGTGCAGGCTCGGCATCCATGCACCATCCCACTGACACCAATGAAATTTCTGCAGGCTTCAATAAACTCAGAAATCCGAAGTTACTACACATAAATCTTAGAGCTTTGCCCACCATTTAATCATTATCATCTTAAATAGCAGTGTTCCAAACCCTACCAGCTGTATCAGACCAAGAACTACCCTAACTGAGTGACTCCGCAAAATCTATGGACAAGTTGTTAATACTAAAACAAAACACAGTTATTGTTATGGATAGCTATACACTGATAGGTAATACATACCCAGTTGTGAAGACGGAGTATTTTAAATGGCCATTACAAAGTTACATGCTTCACTTGCTATTTCATTGATTTGCTACTCTGGTTTAGTTCTTAGTTATGCGTGAATCCTGAATGCGATTTCTCAATTTCTCTCTTTATTGGCAATGGACTAAGACACATTTGACTGTTTTTCCCCCTCAAAAAGCTGTATTTTATTTTTTTTTTTTCCCTAGAGGAAACAACAATTGTCTAACCTTTCAAATGCAGAGTCTGAAATATCAGTTTGAGTGAGATCCAAATATTCCAAATTGGGGCAAAGCTCCAAGATCTGTCTAACCTGGAAAAGGAAAGGAAAATAATCAGCAAATACACAAGCCAATAAGGCTGCACACAGCGTCAAGAATTAACATTCTCTTGAGTTGCAACTCATTTTCATTACCTGAGTGTTTAAAACTCAGGCACATCAGTTATTAATTAGAGGCTGCATAGCCACAATTATTAAATGCCAGTTTCAAATTACATACCATTTTGCTAGACACTGCAGAACTGTAGGCCAACACTAATGTCTTCACTGAGGAGCCTACATGCGGGAGGACGTTATGAATTAAGCCATGAAGTAAACGTTTTTCCATTTGTGCTATATTAATGGCAAGTGAATCTTCAGCTGCTTCTTCTGCAACATAAAACCAAAGAGAAAGACTTAAAATAGGCTTTCAGTCATTTGGAATTCACATTGCCATCTTACATCAAACAAGTCATCGGGAAACTAAAGAAAGCTTAAAGCCTAAGTTTCAGAAAGCACCTTAAATCGAAGTTTTGCTGAACTTGAGCTCAACATACTACTTAAGCCTCATCTTTAAAAACTATCTGCTTGTCTTTCTGACAGTCCTGAAGAATTTAACTCCAACAGCAAGTAACAACAGTAAGAGTTTCACCAGCAGATTATGATTAAAGGACTTGGAGAAGTATTTACTACAGATTATGTACCGCTCAGGGCAGTCTGGGGCAGCTGTTTCCACCGACTTGCTTTATACACTGAAATACTATGTCACAGAATATTTCATATCCTGTGATGTAACAGCTTAAGACAAATTTTAAATTAAGCCTAGAATGCATTAGAATGGAATACGATTCATCCAAAGTTGCTGAAGAGATAAAGCCTAGCTTTACCTCCTTCCTAACTCCAGACACATCCCTGTAAGTCTTCTACCTGCACTCACGTTCGCACTCTCCTAGAAGCAGCAACTCAGCTCATTACAACCAGAGGACTCTTTCAGGAACCTTAAGTACTTGCTAGCCAAAAATTCCCGAGTTTTTTTACGGTATAAGTCTAGATTAGGTGCTTACTAAGCCAAGTAAACAGAACGTAAGTATTATTGCATTTGTCTTTATTTTAATGTACTGGAATAAACTATGAAAACAATCTGTATTTTAAACTGATTTTACAGAAAATAATCCTTTTTAGACATTTATTTCTTACAGCTCTGTCA